AGGCAGGCGGCAGGGGGGGCAGGAGTCAGGGAGGGGAGACACACGGAAAGGCCAAGCAGGGGATGCGCCGGCCTGTTTCTGTCTGAAGTTCTCCAGTGCCAGCGACGATGTCTATCTGGCGAGAGTAAGTGGCTGTCTGCACGGTGCTGCTTGGTACCTTGGGCTACGTAATCTACTCATGAGGACCAGCGTGCACCAGGAAGAGTTAATTCATCCTAGCTCACCGTGGGGTTAAGTCAGGCTTTCCTTCACTTACAAGCAATCCCGGGTCTATAACCGAACATTATTCCATGACTGAGAAAGTGCATGACGCCCAGAAAGTTATTATGAGAGAGGCACTGACTATTTCAATTATTTAAGGCCAACGAACTTCACAAATCACTCTCTAAATCAGATTTTCTCTATGTGGGAGCTCCTTTGTATCCATTTGTCACCTTTGGAAACAGTTTTTTCTTTTTTTTTCAGATTGCTTTTTGAATGCTGAAATAAAAAAGAATTTCAAAACAGTACTCTGCTAGCATAAAGTGACAAACTAGTAAACAGTAAAACAAAGTATCTTTGAAATTAGCGATATTTAAAACAGTAAATAGTTCAAAGCAATGGAAATATAAAAGATTAGTGTCTCACTTATTTTTAAGATTTATTTAAAATCATAATAGCTATTATTTACTAAATAAAAAATAATCACTTCAAATAATCATCCCGTTGAATCTTAATTTGGAAGTAATTTTATTTCAATTAATAATACAGTGGACACAAAATTTAAGCATTTTAATATAATAATAAAACAGTGTAAGCTATTGCTTTTATTGTGACTTCACTCACCCATTAACCAAATGTTAGCCTGCTGGTTCAAGTATATTACACATCTTAGGTCTCTTACCTCGAACTGTGAGGGTGGCCGAAGCTTCCACTTTTCCAACCCGATTCTCAGCAATACACATATAGGTGCCTTCATCTGTACTCAAGGCCTTTTTAATTCTCAGTGTGTAATCATCTTTGATGTCATACCTGTGTAGAATATAAATTGGCTTTATTAAATAGCTTTGGTTATATTTAGATAACACTTCACTTCCCTACTCTATTTTACCTGAAACAAAACACACATAGAGATAGACACACACACACACACACACACACACACACACACACACACACACACACACAC